TTGTGCTTGTAGTAGACAGGCTCCGATAGTAGCGCACTCACGTTAATGCATACTGTTGGCTGAAAGTCCTCCTAAGTAAGTTTCGTTTGGACGAGTATTGGTAATTCATAATCAATTTAGGGTTTGGGTTTGCGGCTATTCCATTGCGTAATTATAATTAATATGTTGCTTTCCGCTTCATGTTTACGATATTTTTACCATGAATCTTTCGTTGCTGAAGTTCAAGGGGTATTGGAAGATATACTAGGTGACCGAAAGTTCGTCCATAAGGTGTACATTTGCACTGCTGAGGACCAAAAGTCTGGTCATTTAGGGAGTTACGGCACACGCTTTCGCTGCTGGCGCTGAAGAGATGCATATTCCGTCAATGTTACGCGGTAATCGAGTACAGACTGGTAAGTGCGTACTACCACATTGACGAATTATTCGTTACCTATGGCGCGCTAAAAGTCACTTGTGCTGACAGAAAGTAGGATTAAAAAGAAAGTTTTAACGCACTAAACAGCGCCGATAATTATTTAGAACATTAGTTAGCAATATCCATCGACCTCTAAAGACATTTATCTTCATCTCCTTTTGCTTCTCCGCGAGTGGCCAAAAGCACGCTTCAGTGGGAGGGCTCGCTGTGCATATGTTGGGATAAAATGATAATTCAGAGGTACAATAATGCTGCATAAGATTCCTATGATTTTGCAAAATCGCTGTTAAAGAATCCACTTAATTATGTCTGCTATGAAACTCACAAACCCCAAGCGTTACTTATTTCATTATATTAATAATGCGTTTCAAATTAAAATTCCGAGGCTAAAAATATCGGCACAATAGGAGTCTAATTAAATAGTCCAGAACGAAACTAAAAGTGGACGGCAGGAATTTTTAATAAATAGACACAGAAACGGTATGCTTATCTTTTATATCTTGTAGTGAATAATTTCTACTTTAGTTACCAATATTGCCTTACTTTTACGCATATTTAAGGCAAATATAGCTGCATGCATTACACACTTCGATGTTTCCCCATCGATACGTAGACGCATAGTAACTCCAGTTGGATATTAGCAATATTGCAACACAGTGTACCCAGCTGATTGAGTTGACACCAGTTTGCATTCATTGCAAAACCGTTTTGCTGCACATCTCCTCTGTGTTATGTTTTGCGTTTAACAACATTTAGACAGGACGCCGAGAAGACGCATAAAAGATAACCCACGGACTATTAACGGACGCTCGTGCCAACAAGCCTGTCACAAAAGAAAGCTTTTACGGTATAAGTTGCGGAAATCCAATGTTTTTAACGGACTTCCAAGACTGCGAGTTAGTTAAATACAACATCCATGAAAACAGGCGACCTAATTTTGACTTTTAGCATTACAATGCGCTCACTGTGCAATATTGAACAAAAGGGTGCGGAAATTTTGTCTAATTAATTTACCAAATTTACAGCATTTGGTTAAGCGTATTGCCGAGCCTTCGAATCGGCGGCAAACGGTTGATAGCTTGTTAGCA